TGCAAGCTAGATTCAATTTTTATATTGCACAATCAATCCAAACCAAAATTTTAGATTCATCAATTCAAACTAAAATTCGTGTGAAGAAGATCAATCAATCCAAATTAATCCAAACCAATTCAAACCATATGTAAAGATATCCAATATCAAAAATCAAAAATCAATATAATATTATAATCCAAATCAAAATTAACTTTGTATGGTTAAAGAAATAAAACTGAGTAAAAGAAAGAATACTAGTATAATTCAAAAAGGAATCTTGTAAAAAGATTACTATTATTATGATAATAAGCTTTTAAATTATATTTTTCAAATAATTTAATTCAAAACTATTTATTTCAAGCTGAAATAACAGGCTCTTTTATATATTTTTCAGATATATAAATTATTATAGTATTACTAGCTAATATTATCTAATATATAAGATATTATTATAATACTATAGTATAATAATTAGAAATATATTATATTAAAGTATGTTAAAAGATGTTAAAGAATGTTAAAGAATATTAGAATATGTAAAAGAATATTGAAAGATATGAAAAGATATAAAAAGATATGAGAGAATATCAAAAGATATTAAAGAACATAAAAAAATATTAAAGAATATAAAAAGATATTTGTAATTATCATCCAAATATAACATTTCACCAAAATTAAAAATAATCTTTTATTATACTATTCTACTATATATATAAATATTGTATTATAAATAATAATAAAAATATAGATTCCAAATATAATATAATATTTAAAAATAGAAATATGATAATAAATATACTAATATATGATATAAAAATAGGGATATTTATAAAATAAATAAAAATTATAAGAAAATATAATTTTGTATAATCAGAAAAAATTAAGAAATTAAGAAATTTTATATCACTATAGTAACAATATAATATTTTTGATAAAATTTTATAAGAAATTTTTATTTAAAATATTTTATAAATAAAATTTTAAGATTAAATTTTTTTTAAAAAATAATATGTATTTATATATTACTAATTATAATTAATAATTTTAGATATATATAATTTATTTTTTCAAATTCTAAACTAATAGAATAATAATAATATATTCTTTTAACTTTAGATTAATAATACTTATAGAATCAGAATTAATTTTTCAACTTAAATAAAGTAATATAATATTTAAAATTTTAAAATAATACTTTATTAAATTATGTAAAATTTTAATTTTATAAATTCATCTATATTTTTAATAATAAAATATTTAAAAATATAAAATTTTATAAATAAATTCTTTAAAATATTTTAATCAGAAATTACTAATAATATGACATATTAACTTAATAAAATTTTATGAAATTTTATATTAAATATAATTAATATATGAAATATTTATATAAAATAATATTAAAAAAATTATTTAAAAAAATTTATAATAAGCAATTTTAAAAATATTTTTGTAAAAATATATTTTAAAATATAAAATATATATTTTTAAGTTTAAAAAAATTTTATTATATATTTATTTAATAAATATCAATTAAAAAAGTTTTTTTAATAGTTTTAATAAGAAATTATAATTAAAATATTATTTTAACTATAATTTACTATTATTTCTTATAAAAATTATTAAAATAAAACTTTTTAATTGATATTTCTTAAATAAATATATAATTTATATCTTAAAATATATATTTACTAAAATATTTTATATAATATAACAAATTTATAATTAATTATTTAATATTAATTTATAAATTATTATTATATTGCATACTGTATTATATATAACTATCTATATTATAATTATCTAATTAATATCAAGAGAAATTATCTAATATAATAAATTATTTTAATTATAGATAAATTTCTTAGTAGAATTTTTTTTAACTCTTATTTTACTAATATAATTAGTATATTAATCTTTTTATTTTGTTATTTATTAACTTATTTAATTATTCATAAGCATCTTTCAGAAGTACTATAATTATTTTCTCATTAAATATTATATATTAATAATTTTATATAGTAATAATTTATTATTTAAAGATATTTTCTTTTCTGTTCTATATTTTTTTAATTTTATTCTATCTTAATAAAATAAATATAAGTTTATATAATTAAATAAAACCTGTTTACTTTTAACTTGACTTCTATATGATTTTTTATTAAAATATACATATATAATAGAAGATTATTACTTTAGTAGTAGTAAAAAAGACTAAAATTCTATTAAAATCAAGATATTTATCATATAATTACATATATACCTAGCATATATCTATAAATTTCTATATCTTGCATATATAATATATATATTATATCAATTATTAATAAATAATTCATTGTCATTTAACAATAAAGTCTTACTATTATACTTATTATATCTGCTGAAGCTGAAACTATCACAAGTATAAGTATTAAAGAATCTAAAAATATCAATTCTATATCAAGAATTTTATTAAAAATACTTTATAACTCTCATTTTTTTATAAATTACAAGCAAACAATTCTTTTGATCATGGATAATCAAAAAGAAATCTAAAAGCAAATTGAACAAAGTTCTTTAACTTCTAATTAAAATAAATTTTATAAATGTAAATGCTAAGCTATTATAATCATGCGATTTATTATATTGTATGCAATCTAAGAACTTTTGTTCATTTCCTAAATATTATTTAATACATATGTCACTGCCCTAAATTTGTGATGCGATATTAATTGTACAATTTGGACAAAAATAGGTGCATTTAATTCACCTAATCTAGATGAATTGTATAGTCCTGTTTTTGTCCAAACTGGATACATGTAATTGGATATCATGGCCGGGTTTTTTAGTTTTAAACTAATTTATTTCATATTTGATTAAAAATTTCGCATATATCATTTTCATTATAAAAATCATTATTCATTAATACAAATCACACAAATTATATGAATCATGCATTTGTTTTTTTAAATGATAATAAAAGTACAATCTTATTTGCGGAACATGCCTTATTTAAAAATTCATATGCGGCGACTTGCGAAAATTTATTTGCGGAATCCGCATGTGCATATCAAATTTTGGTTGCGGTAATCTAAAATCGTGGATATTTCAATTATAAAATAATGTAATTTGTTAGATTGATTTATTATTTATTTTGAATGGAAGTATTATTATAACGTTGACGGTTAAGCATTAATAATGCATGCACATGTATAATGAAAAGAATAACGAGTCACATCTTCTCTTGTTTGATGAAGAAGGCAAGAAATACATGTAGACCTGTATACACCACTGCACGATAATTTCAGGATGAAATATGATTTGGGACTGGATTTATTAATTGGGATAAATTGTTACCAAAACGCAGATTACAATGGTACATTAATTGCATACATACACAATACAATGGAGCTTTTTAAAGCAAATTTTTTATTAACAATAACATCAGCTCCTAGAATATACAAAAATCTTTACAGGCTGTAGTTTGCTATTAATAACTTAAACTCGATTTTTTATGTTATGTAACAGTTTTAGTAAACAATATCAAACACACCTATAAAACTCATCATGTGGTTACTATATGTACAAATATATGCTTGGAAAGAGAACAAAAAAGAATCATAACCAGTCTATGTTTTTGTTTAAAGATTATGATACAAAAAACTAATTTAAGAACAAACATTTGTGTGATACGTATTCTCAGTATTTATTAACGTTCCCAGTACGCTGTAAAGTGCAAAATTCTTAAGATTCGAAAAATCACAAATCAACAAATATACTCATATTCACATAATTTAAGATGAACGATATCAGTCATTTTAATAAAAACTTTCGGGATATGAGATTTACTCTTTATAACGATTATACTAATGAAGGCGGCGCGATCTTTCGATTCCGGACCAGCAATGCTCCACGACGCGTATGCGGTAAAGTTGCTACTCTTGGCTTTGGCTCTAACCTCTTTAAAGTCTACTGTGTAGTCATCAAATTTCAAGGAAAGGATAAAGAAGAAGCAAAAACTTTTATGGAAGAACATGGTCTTCATATTCGAACGATGACACCTTTAAAAGAAGATAACGATCAACAGGCACAACTGAGTGGTAGAGACTTTGTCAAATTTCTTGAGGAAGTAGAGTTTTATGCGTTAAAAGAGAAGCATAATTTTTATACATCCTATCTTATAACTGTTACGAGGTCTTCTAACAGTCAAAAACCGAAAACTCAAGAATTAAGGGAGTTCTATGAAAAAAAGACCGAAAAAACCCGAAATGTGGATAAATATTGCTCGGTTGTAGTCAAACTTGGTGTTCTTATGATTAATGCTGCTAAAAAGCTATCAAAACTAGACTAAAAAGCTATCAAACTAGACACCGACTAATTTTCATCGAATTATTTATATAATGTAAACAATCACTTTCTTTATTTTATTTAATTTTCAACAGAAATAAATTCTTTATTAAGAACTGAGTGTGGTTCGATTTTTTTTAAGAATGCGGAGTCGTTAACTTTATTCTCATCATTGTCATAAGTTATGCAAAATGCATCATACATGTACATGTACTTGATAAGCGTAACATTTCGAAATCTAATTCACATACATGTACATTGGACAGCGCCAGTCATCTAGTCCTAGAGATGGGCGCGCATAGCACATCACTATGCGCACTATGCGCATAGTATATACACGCATAATGATCTACATGTACATATATAGTAATCAAAATACGGATGATTTTATTTTCTATAACTATTATATACATTTATCAATAATTATCACTATCACTTGATGTTTCTAATATATCAT